CTATTGTTCAAAAGTTTGGGGTCAGTCATTTTTTTTTTTTTTTTAAGAAATTAATGCTTTTATTCAGCAAGGATGTGTGATAAAGTGATAAAGTGATAAAGACTCACATTGTTAGAAAAGATTTCTATTTTAATTAAACAATGTTCTTTTTAACTTTATTCATAAAATAATCCTGAAAAAAGTATCACAGGTTCCAAAAAAAATATTAAGCAGCACAACTGTTTCCAACATTGATAATAAATCAGCATATTAGAATGATTTCTGAAGGATCATGTGATACTGAAGACTGGAGTAATGGCTGATGAAAATTCAGCTTTGCTGAATTACATTTTAATAAATTACATTTTAAAGTATATTAAAACAGAAAACCAGTATTTTAAATGGTAACAATATTTTACAATATTACTGTTTTTTTTTCTGTATTTTGGGTCAAAATTTTTGGTCAAATAAAAGCAGCCATGATAAACAGAAGAGACTTCTTTAAAACACAAAAAAAATCTTACTGATCCCAAACTTTTGAACAGCAGTGTATATCCATCTGCCCATAGCTATAGACCACTCCATTTATCTACCCATATCTAGCCATTCATATCTATCCATATAAATCAATATCTGTCTATCTATCCACATAACCATCACAATCCGCCCATATCTATCTACTTATCCATCCATTTTTAATATACTGAAGTACAGTACTATATTACTCTTTTATTCTGATTTGATACTCTGAAGCCAAGTTTATGAATTTTAAAGATTACATTTGCATTTCAAGGGGATAGTCATAAATCATATTGAAGTTTGTGGTCCCTGCAGATTACGTAATCATCTCTCACCTGTAATCCAGGATACATGTGAGGAATACGTTCTTGACAGCCAGTTTGGAGACACAAAATTATGCAGGCCGAGGGCATACAGGCCAATTTCAAAGGCACACAGATGCAGGTTGCGGTGGGGCCCCTGATGGCCTCCGCTGGCAGAGGGTTGAGTGAAAATGGAGGTGGAGCTGTTTCCACCAGCTTTAATCAGCACAGTCTTGGCCAGCTCAAAGTAAAAATGCGCAGCTGCCTCGGATGGCTGGTTGGGCACGTGTGGAGCATGGCATTCAGGCCGGCGACCTTTATACCTAAGAGGGAAAGAGGCAATGTGTGACAAACTGTAGACATAGAGGATCGGAGAATCTGTTTTGACTCTGAAGTGAAACAACTGATTCAGTCAATCAACTGCTACTGAATTAGAGATTTAATTGTTTGCTGAGGCCTCAAAAGGAGATACTGATGTACAAGCACCCAAAAAATGAGACCAAATCCTCAAAAGGGGCAATGAGGGTAAAAAGGGCAAAGGCTTGTCTCACCTGCTGGTGTCAGTACTCTTGGCTCTGGCTCCTCCTCCAGCTCTGCGTGAGCCGCTGGATGACGATGAGCCAAGTGAATCAGAGGAAGAGCTGCTAATGCTGTCACTGTCCTGGCCTCTCCCCCAGGAAGCTGCTGTCCAACCACCTCGAAGTGGGCGTCGACTGAGAGTAGGAGAGCTGTCTGAGGTGGTCTCTGGAGCACTGCTGTCAATGCTTGCCATGCCTGAGAAAAGTCAAAAGAAACATGACCTTTTCACAGTCTCAAATTTCTTTAAGCAAGGTTAAAAATAATAATGTAAATAAATTAGTAATATACATAAAATAATATATTATATTTTAAAACATCAAAATTATTTTAAAATAGTGCTGGACAACGATTAATCGCATCCAAAATAAAAGTTTTTGTTTAATATATGTGCGTGTTCTGTGTATATTTATTATGTGTATATAAATACATATTGACATGTTTATATTAATATAATTTATATTATATATAAAAATATTTAATATATAAAACTAATCTTTGATCATCAAAACGACATATTTAAATGTTTTTTCTTGTGAAAATAATTTTATCATGCATTAAAATAGCTTGAATGCAACTGTATACCCTTGCCTCATTTACTATACGCGGCTCTATGAATACACAAATTCGCCCTGCCTCCACTCAGTCACACACCAGCCAGCCATGAGCCAGCACCTCCTGATCCACTAAACTGAACTGTAGTAAACGCGATACAATGGCAATGGCAAGAGGAAATATTGGTTTAATTAAGCCATATGTGTTTGAACCAGAAATAAGCTGGTATGCTCAACGTAAGCAAGGAGACTGATGGCTAACTTCGTGAGGTAACATTATCTATCTTAGCGGACAACTACAGTGGATACTGTAACATTTGTTAAATTTACTTACTTGACGATGTTGTGTCCTCAAAATGCCTTGAAGACTCAAATGCAGCCAAGTTTGAGATTCCAAATCATGCCCGCGATCATACGCCTGTGACGTGCGGATGTCAATTCGGGAGAGGTGCGTCTGACTCCGGGCTACTTTTACACTGCTGCCACGGGTTATTATTCAAGTTAGCGGTTCTAAATACAAATAAATAAGCGC